GCAATAGGCACAATTCAATGTCTTTAGGGTGTTACAATTCCTATTCCTATGTCTTATGCTATCATTTTTTAAAAGTTAAAAATAGATTTTTTCATACTCTATATTCTGATTATGGTTTCTCTCCCCCAAATCCTCCCAGATCTTCCCCATCTCCCTATCTACCCAGATTCATAGCCTTTCTTGCTGTCTCTTGTTACAAAACAAATGGACATCTAAAATACAAACAAACACAAAGAAAAATAATAAAATATAATAAACAAGGTAAAATAAAAACAAACAATTTGCCCTGAATAGGACAAAACAAAGATACGAATATAAAAAACCAAACCAAACAAAACAAAAGAAAAAACACAAGAAACACATATAGATGTAGAGACATACATATTCATATACACAAGAAGCTTGTAAAAACATAAAAACAGAAATCATAATGTATGAAAACAGGTCCTGTCAGGTAAAACAAATGAACAAACAAACAAAAAAACAAACAGAAGCCCAAATAGGCTATCTACTTCTGGGCATGTGGCCACACTTAAGTGTGGTTTGTATACCCAGTGAAGCTCCAGTAATTTTTCTTTTGCTAGTCATATTGAGTGGATATATTTTCTGTGTTGGGGATGGATGCTTGTGTCCCCTTCCCTTCTCAGCACTGGGACTCATCCAGCTTATACCTGTTCAGGCCTTGTACGTGCTGCCGTAGTCTCCGTGAGTCTTGTATCTGTAGAAGGTCCTAATTTCTTGGTGTCCTCTGAGCACAGAGACTGTTGTGAGGAAGTCAGGCCTGGGCCTCTAGTGTAGCCCTTTCCCAATTACTACATGACTTAAAAAGAGTGTTCTATCTCTGCATCATGGTGGCCTGAGGTATCCCAGAGTTTCAAGGGCAGCACCACTGGTAGGTTTGGGACCGTGAGTTAAGTCTCATAACTGTGATTCTCTTTAGTTGGCACTGAAGGCCTCCAATTAGAAATGACTTCCCAGAGATAACATTTCTGGACTGACCACAGATTAGCTAAGGATTGCCATTTTTTTTTTTTTTTTTTTGGTGGTACTTTGGAATGCTAGGTTTAGCACTGAGCTACAATCCTTATTCATAAGTGATCATTTGAAATATGAAGATGGTGATGGCTATTCTTGGTTGTCAACTTGATAACTTCTGGAAATAACTAAAATCCAAAAATGGAGGGTACAACAGTGAGGGTTTTTTGCTTAACTTTGAAGTAGGAGGATCCACTTCTAATCCAAATCTTTGAGGTGAGGAGACACATGCCTTTAATCTGAGTCATACCTTCTGCTGAAAGCTTTTATAAAGACATGGAAGAAGGTAGCTTTTACTCTTTGCCTGCTTGCTTTCATCTTGCTAGCATGTCAATTCCTTTACTGGCATTAGAGCCTACTTTGTTGGGATTCCAGCATCTACTGAAGACCAGCTAAGACATCCAACCTCGTGGACTGGGAAACTATGAGATTCTTGTACTTTCTGTTCACATTGTTGGATTAGCTGGACCGCAGCCTGTAAATCATTATAATAAATTCCACGTATCATACTTATCAAGTATATATATATATATATATATATATATATATATATAATATTAATAACAATACTAATAACATGCCGAACCTACTGTCATCTGCTTCAAGTGTTGTTTAGTTAAGTAATCTAATTATCACAACAGTCCCGAAGAAGATATTGTCATTATTCACATTTTACCCAAAGGAAGTAGATATTCAGGAAGTTACCTAAAATAGTTCATACCCTGTGAAGTAAGAGAGGTAAGACTTGAATCTGGGTAGAGTTGCTTCACTGTCAAACACTCTGCTATTCTAGAAAGAGCAGCATTGAGACCTTCCTTTTTGAAACAGGGTCATGCCATGTAGCCTAGGCTGCCCTTGAATGAATTTAAGATCCCTTTGCCTCGGTCTCTCTTAGTGCCAGAATTACATTGGTCTGTAAACTGATGTTGAGCTTGTATCTGAGCCCATCTTGTCTTCTTTTATCACAACAGCCTTCCTCCTACTATGCAGTTTCATGTATACAAACTTTCTTTGAGGTAATCCAAGAAGCTACATGCCTTTCTGCCACAGGACCTTTGTTCATGATAGTTCTGTGTAGTAGCCTGTCTCCTTGTTTTCCAAACAATTTTTTTCTTTATTTTTCTTTTTTTGTTTCCTCTTCTTTATATTTTATTATTTTTCATCTTGATTTCTTTTTTAAGTTATTTTTTATTGGATATTTTATTTACATTTCAGATGTTATTCTCTTTCCCTATTCCCCTCTCCCACCAGAAACCTCCTATTTCATCCCCCCTCCTCCTGCTTCTATTGAGGATGTGCCCCCCCCCCCCCCCCTCTCTTACTTCACAGGGTATATATTCGAATTCTCCCATACTGGGGCATCCAGCCTTCACTAGATCAAGGACTTCCTCTCCCACCTATGCCCGACAAGGCCATCTTCCCCTACATATACAGTTGGAGCCATGGGTTCCTTCCTGTGTGCTCCCAGGCTGGTGATTTAGACACTGGGAGCTGGTTGGTATGGTTGCTCTCCCCATGGGGCCACAAACTCCTTCAACTCTTTCAGTCTTCTCTCTAACTCCTCCATTGGGAACTCCATGATCAGATCAATGGTTAGCTGTGAGCATCTGCCTCTGTATGATGTCAGACTTTGGTAGACCTCTAAGGAGACAGCTAGATCATGCTCCTGTCAGCATACACTTCTTGGCATCCACATCAGTGTCTGTGTTTGGTGACTGCACATGGGATGAACACACAGGTGGAGCAGTCTCTGGACAGCCCCACCTTCAGTTTCTGTCCATACTTTGCCTCTGTATCCGCTCCCACAAGTATTTTGTTACTCCTTCTAAGAATGAGTGAAGCACCCACACTTTGGTCTTCCTTCTTCATGAGCTTCATGTGGTCTGTGAGTTGTATCTTGGGTATTGAGAGCTTAGAGGCTAATATCCACTTAATCAGTGAGTGCATACCATGTGTGTTCTTTTGTGATTGGGTTACCTCATTCAGGATGTACAGTGGTTCCTCTGCTGCTCTGCATTCAGTGGTTCCTCTAGAATGGGTCAGGATATGGTGTCTTTAAGGGAGCAGACCAGCTAGGAGTCCGCTGCTCTGAGTACAGTGGTTCCTCTTGGATGGGTCAGGATATGGTGTCTTTAAGGGAGCAGACCAGATAGGAGTCTGCTCCAGGAGAAAGGACCATGTGAGGGGCAGAAGGGGAGTGGTATTCAGGAGGGCGGAGTTTGGGTGGGTGATGGGTCCTGAGTGCCCCAGGCTCCCAGCTGCGGCTCTGGGATGTAGGGTTGTGGTGGAGAGTTCTTACCTGCTGCTCTGAGTACAGTGGTTCCTCTAGAATAGGTCAGGATATGGTGTTTTCAGGGCAGACCAGGACTCTGCCCCAGCAAAAACCCAAACAATTTTCTTTATTTCCTCCTTCAAATCAATTATTTTCTCAGGAAAGCCTTGTTCAAATATCCCAATCATGTACTTTAAGAATCTTTTATTTAAAAAATACTTTTTATTGATTCTCTGTGAATTTCACATCATGCACCTGAATCCCGCTCATCACCCCCTTCCCTCCAACCCCTCCCCTTCCCTTCCAACATCCCCCACAACAGAGGAAAATAAATTTATTGTGGTAGCTGTTGAGTACCACAGTGTATCCTTTTGCCCACACTTCTTGGCTTATAAATGTTCGTTGTAATGATATGTTGATACTAGGCCTTGATGCTAGGCTTCTGGCTTCTGCTATATTATCAATTCTGGAACCTCACTAGGACTCCTCTCTGCTATCTTGTTGTTGCTCTGTGTCATGGAGATCCTGTAGTTTTCGATCTGTAGAACTGTTCCCTTCATGCACTCCGGGAGTTCATCAGTGGGAGTACCAGCTCTTCCACTACTGAAGGTAGTAAGGTGCAAGGGTGGGGTGGGCATCTCTTTTTTGTTCATGCTTCCAAATGGCAGACAAGTTGTAGGCCAACCTTCCCATGCTCACAACCTCAGGGCTGTTTTACTCATGCTCCGTTTATCAGGGTCAGCTCTCCTGAGTGTCGCAGCAGATGAGAGGAAAGGTCAGCTCTCCTGAGTGTTGCAGCAGGTGAGAGGAAGGGACAGCTTTACTACTCTCATGGCCTCAAGCTGCCATGAGGGAAAAAGGGAGGAGGAGGATGAGGAGGAGGAGGAGGAGGAGGAGGAGGAGGAGGAGGAGGAGGAAGAGGAGGAGGAGGAGGAGAGCTCTGTCGCTTACGCCACCAGACAGCAGACAAGAGGAAGGGCAGGCTCTGGGGTCTGACTTACCTGCAACCACCATGTCTGGGGCTAGCTCTATTGTGATACCCAGGTGAGGTGCAGAGCCTGCTCTCACAGGTGCTGCATCAGGTGAAGAACAGAGATGGTTCTCCTGCTCTCATGCTCCCAGGGCTAGCTCTTCCATGATGCCCAGGTGAAATGTGGTCCAGTTTTGCACATCCCTCAGACATCAACATGGCCCTGATTGGCACCACAGACTATGGACATCACCTGGCCTTTGGTGGTAACAGAACCCTGCTGTTGCAGGGCCATCAACCCAGACATAAACCCAGGTGGCATTACTGGCTACTCACATCAGGCTGTTCCTCAACTACCCTCGAGTCTCCAGTTCTTTCTCTTTTCATTGTTCACACAGCCTTCTGTTTCTCTTTCTTTTCCAGTTCTCCACCACGTACTTGGCACTTGGGGTCTCTGAGTTTCTGGGGTCATCCCAGGAGTGGTCTCAGGAGTGCTATATCCCACTTGTGCACTATGGGCTCTGGGCATGGGTCATATTGGACTTGGCCTGCCCCACAGCAGGCCTGCACAGTGCTAGACTGAACTGGTGCTCATCTCAGGCTACCTTCCTGTCTGAGTCCCATAGTGCCAGTCAGGTGGCTGTCTCGGGCTCACTCCTGCTAGGGAGTCTGGGCCTGCCTGGCATTGGACTGCTGGTCATCTCAAGCTCGACTTTTTCAGGGAATGTTAGGCTCCTAATCATTCAGATGTTCATAGGTCAGAGCACTGAGCACAGACATAGCCTCTCTCCTCTCCGCCACCTAGTGATGCACACGTGATATAGCAGTCACACCTGCAATGTTTCCAGGGGAAGGCACTTTCAGAATCGTATTGCCTTAGCTAAAAATAGATTCTGAGGTGGGGCGTGAATGTGTTCAGGATTTACTAACAAGATTCCACTCAATAAACTGATGGAGGAGGAGAGAGCTACACCAGAGTATGGTTTTAGGAAAACTTGGCTTCTGCTTGATCTGCAAGAGAGCCTGCTTGAAAAGTTTGTGCCTTGAGGCAAATGTTGAGACTCTTATACTGAAACCCACCTGAGATTGGCCATGGTGATATTCGTTCACACGAGGCTTGGAACAGGTCACACCAGAGCAATAAGTTCCAAGTGGGGTTTATTCAGTAGATAGGGCAAAAGTGGGGGGTGGGGGAGGAAAGAAGAGAAGAAGAAGAGAGAGATCAGGGGGTTCTGTTTATTTATATGGGTGGTGATGTAGCCTCTCCAAGGTGAAGGTGGGAGGTAGCCAGGTGCATTCTGGGACTGTATGGTGGTTTTCTTGGCAACGATGTGGAAGTTGCCTAGATATGATGTCAGTGGGTTTGGAGCCTGATACCAACACGTGGGCTACCAAGATTTCCTAAGTCCAAAGTATTTTTTTGTAGCAGATGTCAGAGGGCAATCTTGAAAAGTCACTGACATGACAGATTAGTTTAGGAGTAAGATATTGGTGAGAGGGGTTCACCCACAAGTTACACACATCACAAAGGATGGGCACATCCATGAAGCATGGTCATTCCTGAGGCCTGAGTGAGTCACCAACAATGTGTGCTCCAACCACAGCCTCTCCTTCCTTGAATTTCCCCAAGTGGGTCATTGTGTTTATATGTGTGATTATTTAACTTTTCTCTGTCTCTTTTACTAGAATATAATCTCTCTGCAGGCAGGACCTGCAGATAGGATATGGTTTCTATGGTGAAGGCTCAGGGCTTGTAGCTAGTTAGTATTAGTAAGGATTAGTTGCTGAGTAGGTGGGTCAAATGAATGAATACCTCTGCTTTAGATGACCACAGTCTCTTACTTCCACATCTTCAAGCTTTTAGGCACATAATTCCCACTAGTTTACAGAAGCTTTTCTTTCTGGCTTCCTTAAATTGCATTTGCTTCTACTCTAAGAATACTATATCTGATTGTTCACATTCCTTAAGTATTTGTTTGGAGAACACTAACCAGCTTGACTTTGTAACAACCAGCAACTGCTGAGAGGCTTATGGAAAGTGTTCAAGTCTGGTGCTGCTGCTTGGCAAAGCCAGTGACCAAGGGGACAGATTGATGGGAAAAGAAAGAGCTTTTATTCAGTGGGCAAAGAATGGAGAACTGGGGACTTTGGTCTGCTCACAACACAGCCTACCCCTCCAGTCTGTTGAAAGCTATAGCAGTAGAATGTGAATGGCGAGGGAGGAGGAGGCTAACAATGGAGATAGATTTATATCTTTTTCTGGGAAATGGCAGATATCTTTCACAAACTGCAGTGAGCTCTGTTTTCTGTCTCTTATGGTCTGATTTACCTGTCATGGTAGTTGGTAGCTATCTATCTTTAGCCCTAAGTTAAGGCTTCAAAGCAAATATATACAATATGAAGACAGAATTTAAATCTTTTCATCTTGCTTGATTGGAGGTCTTCAGTTCAGTGAAAAGTCAATATTTCATCCACAGGGGACGCCAAGTCCCTGAAAAGTAACTCAGGTAACTGCTGTCATCATAACCCACACAACAAAGGCACTGCATACAGCAAGGCAGTATGGAAAATGTATTGTCTATCTATGTGACCTTCAAAGCTAAGAATTATTTTTAAAGTCAACTAGAAGCAAGTGAAACTAGAGGGTTTATTTTGGTTTTTACTCAGCAATACTCTCAATATTTCTTTCTGGGCATTAGAAACATTGGCAAATTACAATGATTTGTTCTAGAAATTTCTATTGTTAATTTCTAGTGAACCATTTGCTATATATTACTTCCTGGCTTCATAACTATTTAGACTGCTAAGAATTTAATTTGTTAAGAATACTTATTTAGTGTGTGTGTGTGTGTGTGTGTGTGTGTGCATGTATACACATGTAAGTATATGCACCAGAGCCAAAGCCTGTGTGTGTAGGTTAAAGAACAGCTTACGGGAATTGAACTCCATGGGTTTGCGTCTTGAACTCAGGTCATTGGGCTTGGTAGCAGGCACTTTAACCCGTGAAAACAACTTGTTGCCCTCTGAAGAATTTTGTTCTTGCTATCCTGTCCATTGTCCATTGTTATATAGATTGTTGGGAAACCAGAAGCAATGGGATGAGAGAAGTCTACATTTTATGATAGGGAAATTTTGGGATGCTTAAACACGTTTTAGTAAGTTAACAGAATTGGGTAAATAGATAGTATGGTAGAATGTGCTGAAGCATGAGTAGTCTAAAATTCTAGGGTTGGCTCTCTGTACTGGATTAGGCAATATGATTCCAGTTTATGTTGCTTTGCAGAAGGGTGCATGTGTGTGTGTCTGTGTGTGTGCAGTACCCCCCCAATATAGATATCCTTGATATTTTTACTATTCAAGCCTGCTCCTAAAAGACATACTCTTTTCTGGGTTTTAATATACTTTACCTTTGGATAAGTCACAACAATGTCCTTTCTTAGTTCTGAACTGTCTAGGTGGGCTAAATTGGAAACTATGCCTCTTTGAGCCCCATTTCATTATTTATGAAACAAGAGGGTTGAGGAAAAATGTTTCTAGCTATACAATTACTCTGGGGACTTTATTGTGAGTCTATCATATGCTGGTTACCTTTATGGTATGTCTCTAGCAGTCACTTTCATAGTGAACCTCTCTGGAGTTGTTATAATCCTTGACACACAGGAAAGGAAATTGAAGTGTTAGACATGGTCTTTCCTCATGGTCCCAATCAAGTTAGTGTGAGAGCCAGTCATTAGATATGACTCCAAGTTTGGTGCTCTTAGCTCCATTATTGAATCTGCTTCTCACTCTACTCCAGTCTCTGCCACCATCAACCCTGCAAAGTAACTCTGATGGCAATCGTAAAACAAAGGAGGAGAAACTCAATTGGAATGGCTATTGATATCTTGATTTAAATCATTGCCTCTATCCCCTATTCCACATTTGCATCATTGTCCACCAGCATCAGAGGAGAAGGGCAATAGGGATATTGTGTGTATAGGATCTGGATTTGAGAAAGAAGTAGACATCCAAGTACAAGAGGCATTACAAACTTTAAATTTGCCTAGAAAAGAACCTCTCTAGGAAACATAATCAAGATAGTAAAACTATCAGGAAGCAACATTAAAAACTGTAAGAACCTGAGAATGGTAGCTTATTTCTGTAATTTCAGGATTCTGGGAGGCTTTGAGTTTGAGGCCAGTCTGTGTTCTACATAGTAAGGCGCTGTCTTACATGTTAAAAGAACAAATATATTGAGAAAAAATTTAATTTCTTTATAAAGGCAAACTCTTCAGCATAATATCAGATCTATCAACATACACTCTAAAAACCAAAAAGAATAAAATGATGTATTTTAATCCATGAAAATAAAAATTGCCAACTGAGATTGCCATATCTGGCAACATTATCTTTTAAAGTTGGTAGAAAAATAATACTGTTTCAAGAAAAGTAACAAATAAAAGCAATTCATAATAATCAGAAGTTACTTAAAGGATCGCTAAACAGAGAGGAGAAAGGAAGAGAGCCCCAATAACAAGAACATAGAACAGGGCAAAATGAATTTAATGAAAGGGGTAGATAAACAGCACTGAGCTAGGAAATAATCAACATGACAGCTCAGCCAAACTCTGATACAAACCAGAGGGAAAGAAAAGAACAAAAAATACAACCAACCAAAAAAAAATAAGTGTAATTAAAAAAGAATCTGTCTTTGTAGATTATAGCAAAATGAAACTAAAAATTCAAAGGTAAGAGAAACTATACAAATGCATAGAAACGGAAAGCTACAGTCTTTTACAATAAGGCAGCCTAAATGATTATTTTATTTCAGGTAAAAAAAAAAACCTTGCACATTTCTTTTTTAACACAGATATATTTCTTCTAATTATGATTGAGCATTGATATTATTTAATTAAAGTCAACAAATTATCCAATTTAAGTACATGAGTGCTTGCTACCCCAAAGCTTACACAATGTTCTAACCTGAGCCTGATCTGTGGAGTTAGGTCTACCATGATATTATTAGAAAATATCAAACTAAAACTTTTATTGTAGGCCATTTCATTCATAACTAAAATTTTCATTGTGGACCATTTCATTCATGAGAGGTGACAGTCCCTGACCAATGTGAAAATATTCTTGTTGCTCCATATTACCTCTTGAGACTTTGCTGAACTCTGATGTGAAAACTGAATAATCTTAAATGGTAGATGAGTTATTGGAGAAACCAGGGAGGATGTGAATATGTTTCTAGAATCCAGTGAAAATGAAAGCATGACTAATCAACATCTTTGGGAGATAACAAAGGTATGTCTAAGGAAAAAGTTTATAGCTGTGAGTAGTTATAAAAACATAGATTTCATTCAATGCAATCACCATCAAAATTCTAACTCAATTCTTCATAGAGATAGAAAAAGCAATTTGCAAATTCATTTGGGATAACAAAAAACCCAGGATAGTGAAAACTACTGTCAATAATAAAAGAACTTCTGGGGGGAATCACCATTCCTGACCTCAAGCTGAACTACAGAGTAATAGTGATAAAAACTGCATGGTATTGATACAGAGACAGGCAGGAAGATCAGTGGAATAGAATTGAAGACCCAGAAGTGAACCCACACACCTATGGTCACTTGATCTTTGACAAAGGAGCTAAAACTGTCCAGTGGAAAAAAGACAGCATTTTCAACAAATGGTGGTGGTTCAACTGGAGGTCAGCATGTAGAAGGATGAAAATTGATCCATTCTTATCTCCTTGTACAAAGCTCAAGTCCAAGTGGATAAAGGACCTTTACATAAAACCAGATACACTGAAACTAATAGAAGAGAAGGTGGGGAAGACCCTCGAATACCTAGGCACAGGGGAAAAGTTCCTG